AGCAGCAGAGGCCGCCGAATTGCCTGCTGCTGACCCTGCGGCTGTGGGCTCTTCTACGGGGTCTCGAACTCCAGCATATGGAGACACTGGAGGCCATCTAAAGGAAGATCTACCGGCCTACAGAGTTCCCCGCAGAGGCAAAACTGTCACCGGCAACTCCCGCAGCAGCAGCAGCACCTTGGGCCGCAGCTGCAGCCCCTCCTGTCTCAGCACTGCAGGAGGAAACTCTTCGCACCGTGCAGCAGGTAGGCTTTCCCGGGAAATGCAAATAAGTAAAAGCAGCAAAAGACGGAGTTTAAGTTATTTTCTGGCCTTATAAGTGCAAATAGATAAGAGTTAAAGGCAGAGCTCGATTCATTTTCTGGCTAAGTCCTCGGGAGCTCATCTGCGCCGAATGAGCCTTGCAGCCTCCTGCGGCAGTGGAGTCTTGCGGTGAATACCAAGTTGCTCATATTTAAGAACTTTTTCTGAAATTTCTTTCTTTTATGCCACTGCATTTGTGCTGCGCAGCTGAAGGGCTTCAGTCCCCTAGAGGAGGCGGCGCTGGTATTGGTGGAATAATATCAGGAGCAGCAGCAGCAGGAGGGTCGCCCAGAGAGCGGCGCAGCTGTTCCCCCCCGGGGGCCTCCAGTGGGGGCCCCGAGCTGCGGCGGGGCCTCGACTCCCGGTGCAGTCCTGGGGGAGGTGGGGCGACCCGCAGCAGCAGCACGCAGGGCCGCTCGAGCAGCAGCAGCCGCCACGACTGTGCTGCTGCTGCGGCGGGCGGGAAGGGCAGCAGCGGGCGCAGCAACAGCCGCAGCAGCGGCAGCTCCATTGCATGCGGCGGCAGCACCAGGGGCCGCGGCAGGTGCACTCCTCCAGGGGGCACAGCGGGGGTGAATGGCCCTACTGACATGGCGCTGAGGCCCCTGGGAGTTGCTTGTGGGGTCGGTGGGATCGTCTCCGGGGATGCTGCTGAAGCTGTTGTTATCAACAGCAACGACTTGTGGGCCCACCAGCAAACGGGACCGCGGGGCAAGAAGGATAAGGCCCTCAAACTCAAGAGGGAAGAGCACGAGAAACAAATGCAGCAGCTGCACCTCGAGCACGTACAAACGAAGCTCAAGCTGCTGCAGCAAGACGCCACAGACAACCGCTGCCTAACAACCCCCCTGCACCAGCAGCTGCAGCAGCAGCTGCAGCAACAGCTACAGCAACAGCTGCAGCAACAGCTAGCCAGCCGCGACGGTGCAGGACCCTCTCAAGAGCTGCAGCATCCCCAGAAACAACCAACAACGCCAAGCGACCAGCTGCTGCAGGAGCACCTGCAGCAGAGGCAAGTGGGCGCTTCTTCGGGCCCAGCTGCCTCCACGCCGTTCGATGGCAGCCTGCTGCCTTCTCGACAAGACTCTGAGAACCAGCAGCAGCTGCAGCAGCAGCTGCAGCAACATCTGCAGCAGCAGCTCCAGCTGCAGCAGCTGCAGCAGCACCAAGACACCCGCAAGGCGATGGAGAGAGGCGCGTCAGCCGAAAGCACAGCGGGAGATCGCATGCAAAAGGCAGCTCAAGAACAGCCAGAGGCAGCAGCAGGGGAAGAGGAAGAAGAACATGAGGATGATGACCCCCACCAGCACGAGGTCAGATTTCCTGTTGGGACTGCGGGGCTGCATGCGAGCTGCCAGCGCACTCCTGCCCTTACGTCAGCCCCACAGTACCGTTGGCTGTTGCTCGTTCTGCTGCTGCTGCTGCTGCTGCAGGTTGCTGCTGAGATCCGCCTGAAGGAAGGCGAGGCCCATCTTTTCGGGATCCGATCCCCCTGGCGGATTGTCCGCAGCCGTTTTTATGTCACCAGCGCCAGTCATGTAGAGGTAAGCCCCGCCAAAGTGCACTGTTTTGTGGCCAGCCCTTTGCCGCGTCTGCAGCAGTTGCTGCCGCTTCTGGTGGTGTGTCCTGTGCTGCTGCTTGTGCTCGCTGCTACAGCTAGGGGGCCATTGGGGCTTCGCTGCTGCAGTATCCATCTTTAGGTTTGCGTCTGTTGCTTGGGGAATGTTCTATTTTAGATGCTGCGCGTGCTGATATTTCTTTTGCAGCAGTCGCTTTATTGCTGCTGCTTTTGCTGCTGCTGCTTGTCCGCTTCAGGCGCTCCTGAATGTGCTACTTCTCAGCCACAGAGCGGTCGCCTGCAACCCGTGCAACGCAGCGCGGGCCGAAGCAATAAACCAAGGGGCAGCTCGGTCAGCAGCAGCAGCAGCTGCAGCAGCAACAGCTGCAGCAAAACCAGGTGCTGCTGCCGGAGCCGCTGGTGAGGGCAGCACAGGAAACGCGAAGAGCGCTGAGGAGAATGCTGCAGGAGATGCAGCGCAGCCGCAGTTCAAGCCCATCTTGGATCGGGACTTGCGGGTAAATCGCCTTTGCTTTCATTCGCATGCTTCTTTGTGTCTTGGGCTATTTGCGCGTCTTTGTAGCTGCTGTTTCTTACTATATTCTAGACGCCTCCAGCAGCAGCAGCACGAGCCTCAAGCAGCCGCGGGCGCTGCCTCAGACCCAGGCTAAGAGGCAGCTGGGCCAGCCTGCGGGCCAGGTCTCCTGCTTTTGTGTTCTTTTCCACATTTCTCTGTTTAGAGTTTAGGGCTAAACGCTCGGGGGCGAGGGTTTAATACTGTGGGGTTTAGAGTGGCAGTCTGTCTGTCGCCTGGGCTGCTGAAAGGGGTGTTGCAAGCCGCGTGGGAGGTGTGTGGATGTTCGGGTCTCAGTGTCGGGTTTGGGATTTAGGGTTTAGGGTTTAGGGACTGTGCTCTGTGTGGCTGCGGTCCGCAGGACTTGCTGGGGCAGTGCGAGCTGCACTATCTTTCGCACATCGTCTTCAGGGTTTGGGAAAGAAGACGGGCCAGGCCGGCTTCGGGGCCCCTCAATGCGCAAGACCAGCAGCAGTGGCAGCAGCAGCAGCAGCAAGATGAGAAGCGGCGGTACCGCCTGGAGATTTTCTTTAGCACGGGGGCACGCGATGGCTTCGGGGAGAATTTTTACCTCTTGGAGCGCAAGGCACGTCAGCAGCAGCAGCAACAGCAGCAGCAGCAGCAGCAGCAGCAGCAAACAGCCCCCGCCTCCGCCTCCAGCTGCCGCCCGCAGCTGTGGCGAGAAGTGCACCAGCAGGAGGAGGACGAGGCCCAGTCGCACCAGCTTCACGAAGTGAGGCCCTCTGCAGAGGCCCCGGGGGCCCCTCTCCAGGGCGCTGCAGAGGCAGCGGGGGACTGCAGGGAATGCAGCAAATGCAGGTACTGTCTCTCTGCTGGCAGAGTAGGATCTTGCTCTTGGTGCGTCAGGCAGGAGGGCGCGGGCAGCAGCACGGCGAGCAGCAGCAAGAGCAGCAGCGGGGGCCCCGCCGCCCAAGGCATGAGTGACTCAAACTGTGCATGCAGAAAGCCCCACAACAACCGCGTGCCCCCGTACTGCGAAATCGCCCCTCTTCTTCCCCTAGGCCGTTCTGTTGATGTCGGAGATTTCGACACTCTCATGACTGAGGTAAGCAGCAGCACAGGTCTCCGGGCAGTCACGGGCCCCCAGCCCTCCCGGGGCCCTAGTGGGGTCCGCAGCTGGGGGTCTTTGAGGGCTTTTTGCTTCACGTTGGTGCCATGTGGGTTTATAATGGTACATCTGTACATATTTGGCCATAAAGTGCTTCTTCATTGCCTCAATGCACGCGAGAGGGGAGCACTTGTGCTGCTTCTTGCGCTGCACTTTTAGTCACGTTGTGGCCAGTAGTACTTCTGCTTGCTTTTAGTATGTCTTGCTTTCCATGTTTAGAGGAGCAGCAACAAGGCAGGATGCGTGTTTCGAGTGTACTTGCAGGTGCTGCGGCGTTACGGCGATGCGGGTGTTCAGCGCAGTCGCCCTGAGAAGCCAAAGGCTGGCTGAAAGCCAAAGAAATGACAAAAGCAGTCTGACATTAAAGGGTTACATGAATGAAAGGGGGTAATCTTTGGCCCATTTGTTTCCTTCTAAAGGCTGCTTGAGGGCAGCCAAGCATTGGTGGCGCGGCAATGTGTTTTCAAGCCGCCGTAGCAGGCTCTGCTCTTGCTTTGGACTTCATATCACGCCCAGTTTTAGAAATATCGCAATTATAGGGCCCAAATAAGCCCCATTTGGCTGCCGTTTGGGGCTTGGTGGCCGCAGCGCAAGCTCTGTGCGCTGGCGCATACGTGGCGGGCCCAGCCAAAGCTGTGGCCGCCGCTGCCTCTTAACCCCTTTTATTCAAACAACAGCATGCGCAGCAGGCCTGTAGAGAGCTTCAGGCGCTTGCTCAGTGGATTGGCTTTTCTGTGGCAGCGACAGTTTCCCGGTTTCATCTTGTGTCTTTTAGGCTGCGCCACATTTCGAGGCATTAAAGTTGCTGGTAGCTGTTGGGTCAGCCAGGAGCTAGCTAGCTAGTAAACCAGCTAGCTAGTAAGCTAGCTAGCTAGCTTCTGGCTTGTCCCACTTCATTCTAGAGGCACTACGGACTACAAGTGCTAGGTTTCTCAAACAAGTTGCTTTGGCTGCCCGCGAAGGGCGCGGGCCGCAGAAGCAAAGGAAAGCCCGAAGTCAGTTTCTTAGCTCACAAGCACCACAAAACGGCACTTGAAGCATATCAGAGGCAGCAGTGAAGAGTCTCAAGCCTCCACGAGGGCAGTAGGGGCCATGAGGATGTCCCGGAATCTCTCTTCTGTCCTCCGTTTGCATTTTTGGCTTCGTTTGCCTGTCAGTAGGCAGGCAAGCCTACAGGGACTTTGCTTGTGCGTCAGTGCCTGTGTTACTTGTGTACCTTTTCATTGGTGTGTCTATCTCGCTTGGCCGTGTGGTTCTCCTTCCTTTGTGCTCTGTGTTTTTTGCAATTGCATGCAATCTGTTCTACGCCCTTTTTCCCCCGCACCAGCCGAACGCCCTGTCCGTGCCACAGGGCTGGCGCTGTGACCAGTGGTCCCCAGTGGTCCCCCACAGAGCCGCCAGCACTAAGCTCTTGCTGCACTAGGCTCTTGCTGCTGTTACCGGGGCAGCTGGGCCGCTGAGGGAGGCCGCGGCGCGGCAACAGCAGCTCTGGCGGGGCCCCCCGAGGCTGCGCAAAAGCTCGCAGGGGCAGAGGCAGCCACGGGGAGTACAGGGGCCGTTGAAATTGGCAAGAGCATGCAAGGGGGCGTGGCCAGCACTGATGTGATGGGGCTGGGGGCTGTTTCTTTTCGGACTGCTGTGTCAGGAAGCAGAGGCTCTTTGTTAAGAGTGGGCCCTCCGGGGGCTAGGCTTTCATACAAACGCCTCTGCTGCATGCCTACTCGAGTGGCTGGGGCCCCCGTTGCTGCTGCGCCTGCTGCCCCTGCTGCGCTCGCCGTCAGCGGCAAAATGCAGCGGGAGCTCTGCTGCTGCTGCTGCAGGTGGCGTTGCAGCCGTTGCTGCTGCACCACGCCCTGCGAATACCATCGAGATGCTTCCTGCACCTGCATGTACACAAGACCCCCAGACGCTGGGCCCTTCATCTCAACAATGGGGACAGGCATTCGCGATCCTTTTATTTGCTGCTGCTGCACTTGAGGTGTGGCGCTTCTGTGGTGAGATCTGCTGAACAAGCCCCGGTGGTGTCGCTGCTGCGTCTGCAGCTGCAGCTGCTGCTGCAACTGCTGCTGCAGCAGCTGCTGCTGCACGAGCAGCCTCTGTTGCTGCTGGAAGAGTCTCTGCTGCTGCACGAGCCGCTTGCGCTGCTCGTGCTGCTGGTGGTGCAGCTGCGTCTGCCTTTGTTGCAGGCTCAAGACCTTCTCCTCCAGCAAGTGGCTGGCCTTATCTTCAGCAGCAACACTCTCCGTGTGAAAGACCCCAGCCACCGCAGTGGCGGCTTGCTGCAGCGCCACGCACTGCAGCAAGTCTCCGGGTCTGCTGCAGACGGAGGGGGCTGGCATGTGGCCTGCGCAGTCGCCTGTGGTCTCTAGTTGCAAGCCTTCATTCCTCTGCTGCAGCACCAGCAGCTGCTGCTGCTGCAGCTGGTGCCGCAGCACAGGCCGCGGGGGCTTCGGGGACGGCTGGAACGAGTCAGCAAGCGGCTGGCACAGGGGCTGTGGGTAAGCTTTCTGTTGTTGCTGCAGCAGCTGCAGTTGTTGAAAGCCTAGCTGCTCGGTGAGGTCGGGGCGCCTGATGCTGCTGCTGCTGCTGCTGCTGCTGAGGCTAGAGAGCGTGGCGCAGTCTCCGACAGCAGGCGGCAGGTAGTCAACTCCATCTTGGTGCAGCACGGGCTGCGAGTGCGTCGCAGCTCTAGGCACCTCGGGGGCCCCCTGGGGCCCCTGCGGGCCAGCTGCTGCAAAAGGTGTATCCCCACTAGGTAGCAGCCAGGAAGTCTGAGTTGCAACAGCTTCTCCCAATCTGCCTGGCGACGTTCGCCGCAACGGTCGGTGCAGGCGGCGCTGCTTATCCTGCTGTTGCTGCTGCTGCTGGGGAAGCTGCTGCTGCTGCTGCTGGAAGAGCTGTTGTTGCTGAAGGGGCTGCTGCGAGTGGAAATGCTGCTGCTGCTGCTGCTGCTGCTGCTGTTTCTGTTGATACCGATGGTCGTGGTGCAGCTTTGGTTGTTGGCCTTGCTGCAGTTGCTGAAGTTGTTGCTGTGGTGGTGTTTGCTGCTGCTGCTGTTGTTGTAGCTGCTGCTGCAGTGCTGCGCTGTGGTTCTTGGCCCCGTCCCCTGCTTTCTGCTGCTGAGTGCTGTTGTGTCCCATAGACTGTGGCTCTTTGGGGGAGGAGTGGAAGCAGCTAGAAGGTGCCCAGGCCTTAGGGCTGCTTCTGCCTTTTGAAGGAGCCTCTGCTGCCCTCTCAGGCCTGCCCACAGCTCCTGCAGCAGGAGTCGCATAGTGCGTCTCTGGCTGTTGCTGCTGTTGCGCCGCTGGAGCTAGTTTTGGTGCTGCTGCAGCTGCTGCTGCTGGCTCGACGTCTTTTACTGGCTGCTGCTGCATCACCTTTTCCGAAAACGGAGATGAGACGGCCAGCTGCTCCCGGCCTGGGGCTGGCAAAGGAGACTGGGGAGAGGCAGAGTGCCCTAAAAGAGGGGGCAGGGCCACAGCTCCTTTTTC